TCAAACTATGTAACACAGAATTAATCCAAATTAAACCATGGGCATTAATAACAGGGCATCGATATTAGCTCATTAAGTACAATAACATATCCTACCACAAAAGTGAACTGAAAAAGCTGTTTCAATAATTATACATCAATAATTGTATCTGTCCCCACGGGGCCAGAACGATAGCATAGCAGGTCGGGAATTTACCTTGGACTTAGCTGGCCTGGGTTCAACCCCTGGCATCCCATATGGTCCCTCAAGCACCACCAGGAGCAATTTCTGAGTGCAGAGCCAGCAGTAACCCAGGAGCACTGTTGGGTGTGGCCCCCCAAAAAGAAAAAGCATCTGAGAGCAGTGTTCTCGCTCCAGGAAATCAAAACTAAAACCAATTTGGGTAAACACAACCAACAAGAGACTTAACTCCCTGGTAAACTGTGCAGATAATCAAGTTTTTTCAATTGCATTTTCAGTACTTCAGGAATTGAGGCCTAGACTTGTTTTCTTTTGGCCTGATCTGATTTGGGGGGTATACCCAGCTGGGCTCAGGGGTCAGGGGTCACTCCTGGTGGTAGACTTAGGGAACAATATGGCATGCTGTGGAATGACCCCAGGTGAGCTGCATATAAGGCAAATACAAGCCCTACCACGCTTGGCAGAAATGCCTCTGGGCTTGGCATTAGGCCACCTTCTGTGGGCCATTCTAGATGAGAGCAGGTACCGTTCCTCTGTCTATTCCCTGGGAATCCCGGCGGCCACCATCTTCCAGAACCCACTGGAAAACCCAGGTACAGGCCAGCAGTGAGGGCACATGCCAGGCCTCATGGGATAAGAGAGGAGTCGGTCCTTCTCCTCCCCCGCCCCAAAGGGACCCTGAGATGATGCCCACAAATGGCCCCCGGCTACTTATTAAGCTCCTTAACGACCATGATCCCAGAGATACACAAACGAATCTTGGAACCGAGCTCTTGGTAGAAATCTCTCCAGACCCTAATTATTAAAATTTTAGAATTCCAAGACTGTGTGGCAGCTCTTGCGGCCACGTGACTTCATTATACTATTCATAACAAGCAATACAAAACAAATTGTCTAACGTTGCCCTTTTGACAGGTCTGAGTGTTGGGGGGAAATTCCAAATAATAATGGTGGGACTGGTGTTGAAATATTGAATGTAACCAAAGTAGAAAGAGAGTAATGTGGAAATTATCTGCCACACAGACAGGGGTAGAGGTAGGATGGGGGGTACACTGGAATTTTTGGTGGTGGAAAATGTGCACTGGTGAAGGGATGGGTGTTTGATCACTGTATGACCGAGACTCAAATATGAAAGCTTTGTAACTGTTCTCACAGTGATTCAATAAATAAATTTTAAAAATAACAAAATTTTAAAAATAATAAAAAATTTAATAACAATAAAAAAAGTAAGCCCTTACCAGCTGCACCCTTGCTGATTTGGTAAGTCTGGCAAGAAACTAAGGCAGAAGAGGGAAGATTTAAATAAATTGTACTGCACTTTCAAGTTTCTACATTCAAAAATATTGACCAAAATGCATTACAAGGCTAAAGAGAAAATGATATTTTTACAGTCAACATGAACACTTAGATGGTGCCAGATTTCCCTACTGAACATTTTCAAAGCTATGGCAATCTTTTTCCAAATAAGTAGTGAAAAAATTTGCTTCTGTCAATATTCAAAATTCTCTGCCCTTTACAAACGCATTTCACTATATATAACCAAAAGTCATTTAAAATTTTGAAATATAAATAAATAGAATGAGACAATACAGAGAACAGAAGGTGGGAAGTAATTAAACAAAGTAAACATAAAAAAATAAAGAGTTGGGATTCAATCTGCTAACTTCAAGGGTTAAGCTGGTTTTCCCCCCTCAAGATCAATGGTTTTTGGAATAAGACCAAGAGTAAATGCATTCCATGCAGGACGTTCTGGATTAGATTCCCAGCACCAAATGCAGGTTTTATACGTACCCTACGTTAGCCCTCTCAAATGCAATTATACTCAAGAGTAAAGACTATTAAGAATTTTAATAATAAAGGTAAAAGTATATGGAAAAAAGATTAAAGTATTTAAGACATAATTATTTATGTTTTAATTTATACAAATAAATGTTGTGTAAATCTCCTCTTTATACAAATTGAGTTATGCAGACATCTATGTTAAAATGTGCATGACCACTTGGATGGCCGATCATCTCTGGTTGCGGGAAAGCAAAAAACTTTCACTAGGAAGTCAGAAAAAAAGTCTCAGTTTGATGAATGAGAACAAATGAGGTGTCTGGTAAAGTCAGCATGATGCCACCTTGGCCCCGAGGGTCCCACACAAGACGCCGCCCTCAAGGGTAAACTTCTGCCATTGGGTTCCCTATCCAAACCCGCAGTGTCGACCTTGTGAGCGACAAAAGACTGTTTATTTGGATTTTGTGCCACACCCAGCAGTGCTCTGCTTGGGGGCTTGCTCCGCACTGTGCCCTCAGTGATCACTCCTGTAGGCTCGAAGGTGGTGAAAATGAAACCAGGTCAGCTGTGGGCAGGTAAACTTCTTACCTGCAGTGGGATTTCTCCAGCTCCAGACAGTGACTTCAAGTCAGAATGTTTTGGGATAATTTTTTATCCAATAACGGAGATAACCATGGGGCTGGAGCGATAGCACAGCGGGGAGGGCATTTGCCTTGCACACAGCCAACCCGGGTTCGATTCCCAGCATCCCATATGGTCCCCTGAGCACCGCCAGGAGTAATTCCTGAGTGCAACGCCAGGAATAACTCCTGTGCATCACTGGCTGTGACCCAAAAAGCAAACCAAAAATAAAAAGAATAAGAAAAATTAACAGTGATTACCAATAAGGGCATTGGGTGCAATGCAGACCACAAGGGAAACAGCACTGAGGATTTTCTAAGGATCAGTATTACGGCTCCAAATCTAATTTGATAGATAAGGAGTTAACAGTGATAATTTAGTGCTAATTAACAGAGGGGAAATTACAAATAAGAGTTTTGTTCATTGGCTTTAATTTTACATTTTCCTGATTTTTAACATTCCATGGTTTATTTCTGAAACAGCAGGAAAATAATACTTAAGGGTACTGTTGATAGGAGGGCCGCTCTAGTAGTACTAAATATATTGGGTCTAAAATGTATTTTCCAGTGAAAAAAATATGCAAATATTTTTAAAGTCTTCTATTATCCTATATATTTAATGAGATGTTCTGATTATGTGCTATTTCCAGGAAATAGTTCTTATTAAATTAACAGTTCACACAGGGTGAGAATGCTTCAAACACAATCTAAAATTATACCGCCTATAATTGAACATGAGAGTGCTACCTATTCCTTTGTTATTCATTCATTTATTTATTTATTTTTTGCTTTTTGGGTCACACCCGCCAATGCACAGGGGTTACTCCTGACTCTGCACTCAGGAATTACCCCTGGTGGTGCTCAGGGAACCAGATAGGATGCTGGGAATCGAACGCGGGTCGGCCGTGTGCAAGGCAAACGCCCTACCCACTGTGCTAATGCTCCAGCCCCCTACCTGTTCCTTATTTAAAATCGGGGCCACCTGGAGCTGGAGCAATAGCACAGTGGGTAGGGCGTTTGTCTTGCACAGGGCCGACCCAGGTTCGATTCCCAACATCCCATATGGTCCCCCGAGCACCGCCAGGAGAGATTCCTGAGTGCATGAACCAGGAGTAACTCCTGAGCATCGCCGGGTGTGACCCCCCCCAAAAAAGCAAAAAAAAAAAAAAAAAATACAATAAAATAGGGGCCACCTGCAGAAAAGGGGGTGAATGGTGTGCCATGAAGCTGGCCCGGAGATACAAGGCTGACACACCTGGCAGTGTCTCGGGGACCGGAAGGGAGACACTGCACCTCCAGGGACCAAACTCAAAGCTCTCACAGGGCAGGCAGCGATTTACCTGTGCAACTATCTCCCTGGCCTCTGGAACACTGGTTTGATTATCTTACTTTATTTTTTAATTTTTTGGCTTTTTGGGTCAGTCACATTGGCAATACCCAGGGGTTCCTCCTAGCTCTGCATCTAGAAATTACTCCTGGCCGTGCTCAGGGGACCATATGGGATGCTGGGGATTGAACCTGGGTTGGCCGCATGCAAGGCAAATGTCCTCCCCACTGGACTATCGTTTCAGCCCCGCCCCCCCCCTCTTTTTTGAAGTTTTTGTGCCACACCCGGCAATGAGGTTTCCTCCTGGACTGCACTCAGGAATTACTCCTGGCCTTGATCAAGGATGCGGGGAACTGCACCCGGTCAGACGCGTACAAGGCAAGCGGCGTAACTGTTGTGCTGTCTCTAGCCCAGTTGTGTCACTTCTTCAGGTTTAAGAAATTCCTCAGTCATTGCAAACAGAGGGGACAAATAAAACTGAAAAAAAATACCTTTATGATTTTCAGAATTATGAGTGATTAAAGAAAAAAAGGATCAAAAGCAACAACAACGAACATACACAAACAAGCAAATCAGCCATAGATAAGCCATAAACATTGAAGGTTAAAAAGAGATTCGGGTACTTTAAGTCTGAGACTTACATCATCACTAAAGTAAGTTCAAGTCTAGAATTTTGTAATTGCTTACAGAACTGTGACATGAGAAAATGAATTTGTTATCCTGAGATAAATGTCTAACCGACAACTTAACAAATGAAAACATCCGTCCTTGAAAGAAGTATGTATGTTCATAAAAACAGCTATCAGTTCCTAAACTTAAAACTTCATAGGTCAAGTCTTCAAAATCAACCTCATCAACTTCAACCCACTTAAGAAAACCCCACCTCAAATGTTTTCTTTCACTTGACACAACAGAATTTTGTTCTGTGTTTTCTGGATCAAACCCAAGATCTCGCCCAAGCAATGTGCATGCAGTACCATTCAGTTATACCCACAGCCAAGGGACAGAACTGTTTCAAAATCTCACTCCCTTAAAGATTAATAAAGAAAAGTTGATATCTACAATTTCTCTGGGATTTATGCTATTCCATGTACCTTTCCATGGCTTTAGCTGTATAAGGCAAATGCATTTCAATACTGTGTTCATCTTCGTCCGTCTGCAGAGACATGCGTTCAAACATTCCTGTCTTCCAGAGTTCTCCATAAACTAAAAAGATTTCAATGATATGATAAAACAAAGCATTAATGTTTATCCTTATCCTGGGAGATTCCAATAACACAAAACTACTTGCTTTGGCAGGAGACAGAAGGACGACATATAATTTCCATTTACCGTTATATTTTAGAAAGAAGATGAAATAAACTTTCCACATCATCAGAAGAGATGATATGGCAAGTAATGAATTACTTAAAGCATTTTCTTGTATATGGGAACATCAAAAGTAATATTTAAATTTTGTATATGTTCCTTTCATCACATATAAAATCTTATCAGTTCTAGGCTTTTCTTAACTTTAAAAGCAAGAAGGACCCCGGAGAGGCAAAAAAGTATAGTTGAAGTGACATCTGCAATTGTCTGTTCATTGCAGCACTGTTTACAATTGCTAGAACATGGAAAAAACCTGAGTGCCCAAGAACAGAAGACTGGTTAAAGAAACTTTGGTACATCTACACAGTGGAGTACTACATAGCTGTTAGAAAAAATGAAGTCATGAAATTTACATACAAGTGGTACTACATGGAAAATATCATGCTAAGCGAAATGAGCCAGAAAGAGAGGAACAGACATAGAAAGATTGCATTCATCTGGGGAACATACAGTAACAAAGTAGGAGACTAACACCCAAGAACAGCTGTGATAAATACCAGGAGGTTTACTCCATGGCTTGGAGGCCAGCCGCACACTCTAGGGGTAAAGGTTGCTCAGATAGAGAAGGGAGCACCAAATAAAGGGTGCTGGGAAGATCCGCCCAGGATGGGAGATGCATGCTGAAAGTAGACTCTAGACCAAACATGATTGCCACCCAATGCCTCTTTTGCAAACCACAGCACCCAAAAGGAAAGAGAGAACAAAAGGGGTGCCCTGCCACAGAGGCAGGGTGGGATGGGGGGATGGGAGGGGGGAAGGGAGATGGGAGCAATACTGGGATTGGTGAGGGGGGAGAATGGGCACTGGTGGAGGGATGGGTACTTGATCATTGTATAACTGAAATCCAAGCACAAAAATTTGTACAGGTGTTTCACTAATAAAAAATAAATAAATAAATAAATAAAAGCAAGAAGGAAATGCTAACCAGAAAGAAGCTAACTGATTAGGATTCCTACTGAATATGGAGAACCCACTGATCTTATACATGAGGTCAAGTATTACCACTTTTGAATTTTGTTGATTTTCTAAAAATATTAATGCATGGAATTTTGTTTTCCACTTCAGGTTCCTGACAATGTTTTTTTTCCCACAAAATGAAAAGGTAGGCACGTAGAAGAGACCCAACACAAAAATTCACAATACCATACGATCTGAAAATATTCTAGCAATTCAGTCTTAAGTCATTCACTAGTTGAATACCGAATACTGTATTGAAAGAAAATTATTAAAATTTAGTGTATGTTAAAACGTACAATAAGATTTGTTTTATCATAGGACCAAATTTTTATGGCTTCATTTTTTTTCTGGTTTGGGGGCCATCCTTGGCAGTGCTCAAGGGACCATATGCAGTGCCAGGGACCAAACCAGAAACAGCGTGAAAGGCAAACAACCTCCTCACCCAACCCCCCATACTATGCCTCTGGCCCCATACAACTACATTATTAAATAGATTAACAGTAGTAAATAAACGGTGGTCTAACGATTTTAATTTATATCTGATTAAATAGTCTCCGTTTCTGGGGACCACAGAGATAGCACATACAAAGCACTCGCCTTGTATGTGGCTGTAGCCTTGTCAATAGTTTCAATCCCAGCACCAGGTGTGGACCCTGAGCACTGCCAGATGTATGCAACACCCCCCACCACAACGGGGGGGCAAAAAACACTCCCCCATTCCTTCTATGACAGGCTAACCAAAACCAAACTTTCCTGAATGTCCCAACAATAACACACCAAGATCAGCTACCCCAGTGGTAAGGCGAGTAACACTCCTTCACAAATGGGGCATGTCTAAGAACAAACTTTGCATCTTAAATTGGCAAGTCACAACATTCATAAGCTTTCTTTTTAATTACATGATAGTTCTCCTACCTGGAAAGCCCACGTAATGGCCTCGGGCGCCTGTATACTCACTCTTTTGGTCTATGCGAAGGTCGTACAGGGGGGTCCTATAGATGTCCACACTGGAAAGTGCACAGCGAGAGAGGGGCACATGGTGGGAAGGCCCGAGGATGAAGATTCTCCGGCTAGGAGACAACAACAGACACAGCACCTGCACGTTTACATGAATCTCACGAAATAAAGGGCATTTCTCTGGGGTTGGTTGTTTGGCTTTGTTTTGTTTTGTTTTGTTTTCCCCAGGTTTTTTTGTTTGTTTTGTTTTTGTTTGGGGGCATATCCAGCAGTGTTCAGGGCTTGCCCCATGGCTCTGCACTCAGGAATTACTCCTGAGAACTACTCCTGGTGGGTTCAGGGGACCCTCCAGGGTGCTGGGGGTTGAACCCAGGTTGGCCGTGTGCTAGGCAAATGCAATACCTGCTGTGGCATTGCGCAGGCTACCAAAATTTGTGGGTTTTTTTTTTCCCCACTTGAATTTCAGATGGTACTTCTTTGAGTGACTGCACAACCCACTATTAGGGGCTGAGCTGCGTTCCTCTAAAATTAAGTGCCACCCGTCCCGACCCACCCGTGGACCTCGGCGTGAAACCTCGTTTGGAGAGGTCTTTCAAGAGATGATTAGGCTGAAAGGATGCGGTTTGAACCCACTATGACAGGCATCCTTCTAAGAAAGGCAAGGCCAGGGCGCAGCATGTACGAGCGAGAGAGGAGAGCCACACGCAAGCTACAGGGAGAGGGCTCACCAGAGTGCAGCACCATCTGAGAAGGAGCACTTCTTTCCGGGCACCATCAGTAGTTCAAGATGCGTTACTACATGGGGCCGGAGAAAGAGATGGTACAGCAGGCAGGGCACTTGCCCTACACTGCCAGGAGTAATTCCTGGGCACAAACGTAGGGTGTGTGTGTGTGTGTGTGTGTGTGTGTGTGTGTGTGTGCGCGCGCGCGCGTGTGTGTGTGTACATACCCATACCGCCAAGAGTAATTCCCTGGCACCACAGAGGGTGTGTGTGTGTGTGTGTGTGTGTGTACACCACCAGGAGTAATTGCTGAGCACAGAGGTAGGGTGTGTGTGTGTGTGCGCGTGTGTATGTGTGTGTGTGTGCACGCACGTGTGTGTACACCACCAGGAGTAATTCCTGGGCACAGAGGTAGGGTGTGTGTGTGTGTGTGTGTGTGTGTGTGTGTGTGTGTGTGTGTGTATGCACATATACACTGCGAAGAGTAAACTCCTGGGCACAGAGGTAGGGTATGTGTGTGTGTGTGTGTGTATGTGTGTGTGTGTGTATACACATATACACTGCGAAGAGTAAACTCCTGGGCACAGAGGTAGGGTATGTGTGTGTGTGTGTGTGTGTGTGTGTATACACATATACACTGCGAAGAGTAAACTCCTGGGCACAGAGGTAGGGTGTGTGTGTGTGTGTGTGTGTATGTGTGTGTGTGTGTATACATATATACACTGCGAAGAGTAAACTCCTGGGCACAGAGGTAGGGTATGTGTGTGTGTGTGTGTGTGTGTGTATACACATATACACTGCGAAGAGTAAACTCCTGGGCACAGAGGTAGGGTGTGTGTGTGTGTGTGTGTGTGTGTGTGTACCTCCAGGAGTAATTCCTGGGCACAGAGGTGGGTCTGTGTGTCTGTGTGTCTATTTACAGAAGTACTGGCAAACTATTGCCCCTGTTCCTTGATTAAGCTCAATTATCTGAATTCCTTTCTGTAGAAGGCCTTTAAAACAACCATATGCAACACCTGAAAATATTATGTAATTATTTACTCTGAAAAAAAAACAACTCTATTTGGGAGTCAGAGCAATAGTACAGCAGGTAGGGTATTCATTTGCCTTGCAGGCAAATGACCGACCCAAGTTCGATCCCGGCATCCCCATCTGGACCCCCAAGCACCATGAGGAGTAATCCTGAGTGCAGAGCCAATAATAACCCCTGAGGGCTGCTGAGCATAGCCATAAATAAATGAATAAAAAGAACCATCTCTACTTATTCATAATGGCTAGGATACAGGTTTTTCAATAGCTATACTTGAATTTTAAACATTTCCGCTTTTAAATAAAATCTCAAAATTCTTTTTTTTTAATGTATTGCTATTTATTCAGCCACTGATTAGGCTGAAAATCTCAAAATTCTAACACACTTTAAACCTGCTTTCTAAGATTACCGCAACTCTAACATAAACACACAATGATATTATTCTGAATATTCATACGAAATATCACAACGGGGCTAGAAGTGTGGTTCAGTGCAGGAGCGCATGCAGGCAGGAGGCCCTGAGTGTAACTGTCACCCGACACACACACACGCTGACACTGCCGGGAGAGAGCTGCAAGGGAGGGCCCAAGACTCAGGTCCAGGGTCAGTTCTGGCATCTTACAGCCTCCCGAGCACCACTATCTACCTTGATGAGCCCCAGCATTAAAAAAAAAAATGAAGAGAGGGGCTGGAGCGATAGCACAGCAGGTCGGATGCTTGTCTTGTACTCAGCCAACCCAAGTTCGATCCCCAGCATCCCATAGGGTCCCTCGAGCACCACCAGGAGTGACTCCTGAGTACAGAGCCAGGAGTTACCCTTGAGCAACCCTACGTGTGGCAGACCCTCCCCAAAATTGAGAGTTATTAAGAGATATCTATATATAAACACATGTATAGCCGAAAAGCCTTCCAATAATACTTATTTTCACATTTTTTTCCATAGAAGAGAGAAAAGACATTTAGGGGCAAAGAATTCTGAGTAATGAGCTTTCTCTGTTCCCACTCAAGTAGAAACCATCCTCAAAAACAAAGAAGCTTGATTGTGTGTTATTTGCACTGTAGACTAAAGAAAGGCTGGGCTAAGCTGCAGCTCAAATGTTTATAATCGCTTTATCTTGACATCTCAAGAGTAAAATTAACTTCCTTTTATTTTATCTCATATATCCGTACAATCTAAATTCAGAAACTACCCATTTTCTCTGTTTGTCCAGATTCATATGAATGAATGAAACTTTCCCCATCACACACTGTACCACAAAAATTTAAGAGCCCCAAACTCCAAAGTATGAAAAAATTAGGTACTGCTCACTGGGCAATTCATAGACAAATACTAAGTAGAAAGGAACAAGAAATGAAGCCCAAAATAAGGAAGAGGAGGGAAATAATAAAAATGGGGGAGAGGGAGGATTAACAATATAGAAAAATCTGCTAATGTATAAAAAAAAAATTTAATATATAAAAACACACAGAAACCAAAATTAAGCTGGTGCTTTATTTGAGAGGATGTCTCCCACGCAGTGTTCTGGGAATCAGGGGCCAAATCCAGGCATTCCCAGCCAGCCAGGCTGCAATACTGAATTATAGAGCCCAAAGATGCAATGGGGGCGGTCTTTGTCTTGCAGCAAACTAGGGTTCAATCCCCAGCACACCATATGGTCCCCCAGGTACTACTAGGAAAGATCCCTGAGCTCAGAGCCAGGAATAAGCCTTCCACACCACAAGGTGTAGCCCAAAAGCCAAAACAAGACAAGAAAAGAAAAAAGGATGCAGCTCCTGGGACCACCCACCCCAGAAGACTGAGGGGGAGGCGGGAGGGCGCTCCCCGGCTGCACCCAGTGAGGCATCCTACTAACCATCCTACTTCCTGGCCTGATCGAGAGAGCTGGTTTTACAAAAAAATAACCAAGAGTGACAAACTTTTACCTACACTCACAAAGAGAAAATTAAAAACTAAAAAACTCTTATCAGGAATGAAAGGCAAGGGACCAGAGCCACAGCGGAGCAGGGTAGGGTGCTTGCCTTGCATAGGGCCAACCCAGGTTCGATCCCCGGGACACCATATATGGTCCCCAAGCACTGCCAGGAGTCATCCCTGAGTGCAGAGCCTCGAGTAATTCCTGAACATCACCAGGTGTGGCCGAAAAGCAAAGAAAAAAAAATTAAAGGACAGGTGTTATAGCACTGTAGCACTGTCCTCCCGCTGTTCATCGATTTGCTCGAGCGGGCCCAGTAACGTCTCCATTGTGAGATTCGTTGTTACTGTGTCTGGCATATCGAATACGTCACGGGTAGCTTGCCAAGCTTTACCGTGCGGCAAAATACTCTCGGTAGCTTGCCAGGCTCTCCAAGAGGGGTGAAGGAATCGAACCTGGCTCGGCCAGGCCGGCGTCTTGCAAGGCAAACGCCCTACCAACCTACCAATGTGCTATTGCTCCAGGAGAGGTGTTATATTAAAAAAAAAATACTGCAAAAACACAAAAGGAAAATTCCTACACACCACTTGATGCCATTATTGAAGAAGCAAGAAGAAATGGGTGGGTGTTTAGCATCCTGGAACCTTGTGGTACGGAACGAGGAGAAAGCAGGGAACTCGGCGGAACCAGAGACTACAAAATTGATACCAAAAAAATCAGCTAATTGTTACTCAAAATTCAGTTGTTACAGACTCAGTACAGAACCATCTCAGGCGTCAGCTGCTCCCTGACACCTGTGCCAGCCCTGGGCCTGGGCTCCTCCCCACCACTCTGCCTCTTCCTTCGGATCTTCCCATTTCTTCCAGTGGAGGCTCTAAGAATCCCCAGTGAAGTGCATTCCAGGAGCTAACTTCTCAATAAAAATTCTGCCCAAGGGGCCGGAGCAATAGCACAGCGGGTAGGGCGTTTGCCTTGCACGTGGATGACCCAGGTTTGATCCCCAGCATTTCATATGGTCCCCCAGCACTGCCAGGAGTAATTCCTGAGTGCAGAGCCAGGAGTAACCCCTGAGCATTGCTGGGTGTGACCCAAAAAGCCAAAAAAAAAAAAAAAAAACCACCAACTAAGTTTGGAAAGACAGTGCAAAAGATTGCAGCACAGGCTTTGTGGGTGGAAGAGCTGGGTTTGAACCCTGGTACCACACAGCCCCACAAGCAATGCAAAGAGTAATTGTGAACAGAGCCAGGATTGCTCCAAAGCACCGGAAAACAACAACAACAAACTACAATTATCTTCAACAAAGGTCAAATACAATGTGTAGCTTTTTGTTTTAAAACTTTGACCAGGACCAGAAAGATACTATATCCGGTAAGGTGTCTGCCTCACACCAACCTTGCGGCCAATCTGGGTTTGATCCCCGGTATCCCACGTGGTCTCCGAGCCCACCAGGAGTAATTCCTGAGTGCAGAGCTGAGAGTAACCCCTGAGCACTGCCAGATGCGGCCCAAATAGATAAAATCAAACAAAACCTTGACCAAACTACTCAGAGGCACACAGCAGGAGCTAAGAGAGGGCTTCTGCTTCTGTCTGTGTTTTTAACACATTGACAACGGCAGCAAACCCATGTTAATTAAACCATATCCAAGAGGGAGTCACCAGTGAATGCCCACTCAGTGCCAACATGGTAAACTTCTACTATTACGACCGTCTCCTTTGAATGATTATGCTTCATTTCTACGAGGATAGGCCAACACGTGACAATTCTGTCAGGACATGACAAAAGTGAAAACGTCACCCATTCAGAGTGTGTTCGGCTGGTGACACAGAACAGAGCCTGACGGCGGCTCTCAGCTGAGAACGAACGGTCTAAATGACACGTCACATGGTCGGCGGCTGAGAATCAGATACTGAGCCTTAGAAAGCTCCCAAGAGGCTCATGTTAGACTCAGCTTCAGCCGCCAAGCGTGATTTTTGAAAAGTTCATTTCGGAACTGTCACGGAAATCATGAGAAAGTCCATGTCAGAGCTGGGGAGACAGTGCCAGGGGACAGCGTGGGCTCCCGCCACTCCATCACCCGCTGAGCACTGCCAAGAGTCACCTGGCAGAGAGCACACCATGAGCAGCCCAGAGAACCACTGGGAGACAAAACAGTCTCTGCGAGAATCTAAAACAATGCAGGGACTCATCGTGTCCAGAAGAAATCACTCTTCTCCGTTAACCACAGTTGACCGGGCTGGGCCATAGAGACAGTACAGTATGTGGGGTGCTTGACTTGCTGACCGGGTCTCGATCCCCGAAGGGTCCCCCAACCACCACCAGGAGTGAACCCTGAATGCAGAGCCCAAAGAGTAACCCCTGAGCATCACCAGGTGTGCTCTGCCCCAGTGCCCCTCCCCCAAGAAAAAGAATTTCAGGGCCAAAGAGATAGGAAGGAGATGAGTTGCTATCTCGCATGCAGCAGACCACAGTTCGAAACCCAGCACCAAATGTGATCCCCCAAGAACTGCCAGGGAGAGTCCTAAAAACAGAGCCACGAATAGGCCCTGAGATCCATCAGGTGTGTGATTCCCCGCCCCCCCAAAAAAATTAAATTAAAAAGCAAATGAAACAAAATCAAGAATAATGCGTTTTTTCTCCAGAATGCTTAGCTTTCAAACGAATTTTTTTTAAATAACATATTTAACCTTCTGCCATTCCAGAACAAAACTTTTTCCAACTAAATGAAACAGTAAAACTCAACATTCAAGGACCAGATAGTACAGTGGCGAAGACACAGGCATTGCATATGGCCAACCTGGTACCATGTATGACCACCTGAGCCCTGCCAGGAGTGATCCCTGAGCACAGAGCCAGGAGCAAGCCCCGTGGACAGCCAGGTGTGTGCAAATCAAAGCCAAAAAAAAAAAAAAAACCCAGGCAATGAAAAAGTTAAATGAAAGCTTTTCGTAACCAATAGATGGCATAAATCGAATGCATTAAAAGGAAAATGAAATCAAGTAAACAGTTAAGAGTCTGGAGAACAAATAACTCATGTGGCCACGCGACTCCCATCCCCGCCTCCTGCACAGGCTGCCGTTGGCCGCGTTACTCACGTAATAGCTGGATCCACTTGTTTGTAAGCATGAGCAGCACAAGACCCACAGTACGTGTATCCTGCGTGGCTACAAAACAAAACATGTCGCAGACTTAATCATCTCGTTGAAAATCAAGACACTCTAAGAAATAGAAAACGTCTGAAAAAAAAAATCAAATACCTATGGTGAACATCACAGAATTAAGTGCAAGGTTTAAAAGCCACGTAGCTAGCAATGTTACAAATTGTGCTCAAATTTTTAACTTTAAAAAGCATCCTGCATTTTTTTTAAGCTAAAGAACAATTAAATTTGGAGACATCCAGGTTTTTCACGTAGTTGCCAATAGATAGAGTTTTTTAATGCTCCTTCAATAGTGCTCACAGATGACACTGCATAACAATGACACCACGAAGTCACTGAATCAGGCTCAAGGAAGGAGGCAGCTCCATCTGGGTCTTGGAGGTAAGAGACTAGAGCTGGCCTTTTCCTCCCCTGCTGCTCTTCCCTTTCAACCTCTCTCTTGCCCCCTACAAAATGACTTTGTCTCCTGACCTCATTTTTCATTTTCTGATTCAAAAGTTCTGAGTGTACAAGCACTTCCCTTTGGGCTTATTTATTAGCCTGAGTTGTGTTGTGTAGTGACTGGTAGATAAACAGTTAATGACTCCCTTTACAGGAGGAAAAAAAAAAGCTAAAACTCTTAAGCTTCACCGGAGCAAAAAAAATAGGTGCCAACAAACCGCAAAAAAATGAAACACTATAGATGAATCATTATTGCAGAAGCAACAGGGCTGATAGTCACTAGTTCCGGAACTCACATTCAGAAGCAAGTAACGGTTGCAACTGGTAAGAATGGAATACCAAGACAATGTTTGAACTTCACTGACTAAACAATAACTCGTAGGCTAATTAAATCATAGTGTACAAATACAAGTGATTTAAGTGATTAAGTGATTAAGTACAAATACGAGGATATTTTCTTTCCTTCTGTCCCATTCATGATGTAAATACAACAGGCATAAGTATGTTTAATCAGCATTATTAACATTTTTTCCATTACTTAAGCATAATCAATAAGTGAGAAACAATTCACCGACTAATGTGGAAAAACATCATCCTCACAACGGCTGACTTTAAGATACACAGTAAGTCGACAAAACATGAGGTGAGAGAAAATAGTTATAAAGCATTCATCTGGGGCTGGAGCGATAGTACAGCGGGTAGGGCATTTGACTTGCACATGGCCAAGCTGGGTTCGATTCCCAGCATCCCATATGGTCCCCCCGAGCACCACCAGAAACAATTCCTGAGTGCGAAGCCAGGAGTAATCCCTATGCATTGCCAGGTGTGACCCAAAAAGAAAAAAAAATTATAAAACATTTATCTGACAAAGGATTTTATATAAAGAAATTTCAGGGCCTGAGATAGTACAATTATTATTACACATAATAATACAGTGGGTACTATCTTTTGTCTTGCACGCGGTCAACCTGGGTTCGATCCCTAGCACCCCACACTCTGAGCAGGAGTGATTCCCGAGTGTGAAGCTAGAAGTAACCCTGAGTGTCGACAGGTGTGGCCCAAAAACAAAACAAAAACAATTTTTTAAAACAAATTCAGTAACTCCAAAAAAAAATTGTTCAAGATGAATTAACTTATTTATTTATTTTTGGCTTTTTTGGTTCACGCCTGCTATGCACAGGAATTACTCCTGGTTCATGCACTCAGGAATCACTCCTGGTGGTGCTCGGGGGACCATATGGGATGCTGGGAATCGAACCTGGGCCAGCCGCATGCAAGGCAAATGCCCTACCCGCTGTGCTATTGCTCCAGCCCGAATTACCTTATTTGGCAGCAGTGTGAATATGCTTATCACTACTAAACTGTACGAACAGCCAGCAGGAAATACACAACTGGAGTTACGGTGCTTGCCAGGTAAGCAGCCAAACCCAGTTTGATCCCCAGCACCACATCTGGTCCCGATAACTGCCAGAAGTAACCCCTGAGCATAGAGCCAGGAGTATGCCCTGACAACCGCTGGGTGTGACCCCAAAAACAAAACAGGTAAATACATCTGTCACTGTCCTCCCGTTGTTCATCGATTTGCTCGAGCGGGCCCAGTAACATTGTGAGACTTGTTGTTACTGTGTTTGGCATATCGAATACGCCACAGAGAGCTTGCCAGGCTTTGCCGGACAGGAGAGATACTCCGGGTAGCTTGCCGGGGCTATCCGAGAGGGGCGGAGGAAGCGAACTCTGGTCAGCCCGGTCGGAGGAGTGCATGGCAAACGCCCTATCCGCTGTGCTATCGCTCCAGCCTAGGTAAATATGTAAGATGATAAATTTTGCAAGGTAATATTTACCACAATGAATTTTTTATACTAGGAAAAGATATATACACTTTATCAAAGGCTATTACACTGGAATAGCAAACAGACACACAAAAAAATGCTCAATGTAAAACAACAATGAACAGAATACTCACTAGAATATCACTAGAATAGCCAAAACAATACAAAGAGTGATAATACAGAACACAAAATGTGAAAATTTTTGCAAATACTGCAAAAAAAAATTGGCAATTTTTTTTTAAATTTTTATTAGTGAAACACCATGAGGTTGTGGACTTACAAGTTTTTGTGCTTGGGTTTCAGTTATACAATGATCAAGTACCCATCCCTCCACCAGTGCCCATCCTCCACCACCAATGATCCCAGTATCCCTCCCACCCCTTCCCCCCCCCATCCCACCCCACCTCTGTGGCAGGGCATTCCCTTTAGTTCTCTCTCTCCTTTTGGGTGCTGTGGTTTGCAAAAGAGGCATTGAGTGGCAATCATGTTCGGTCTATAGTCTACTTTCAGCATGCATCTCCCATCCTGGGAGGACCCTCCCAACACCCTTTATTTGGTGCTCCCTTCTCTATCTGAGCTCCCTTTTCCCCTAGCATTTGTGGCTGGCCTCCAAGCCATGGAGAGAACCTCCTGGTACTTATCTTGACTATTCTTGGGTGCTAGTCTCCTATTCTGTTACTTTATATTCCAAATTTGGCCATTTCTAATTCAATAATATGAATATATTCCTTATTATCAATAACCTAGTTACTCCACTCTTTTCTGGGGGAAGATGGGGTTTTGGGTAACACCATGGACTATTCCTGGTTTTGAGAGCACTGCTGGCTATAGCACAAAAATAAAAATAAATGCATTTTTTAAAGTGACCCATGGTGGTGCTGGGGAACCATATACCGCACAAATTGGGGTCGGTAGGACGCAAGAAGAACACTTTAAACCCTGTACTCGCTCCGGCACCCTAGCTAGTCCACGCTTAAGAAAAATATTCACACGAAACATTTGTCCAGTTCGATTCCCAGCATCCCATATTGTTCTCCTGAGCTCCGCCAGGAGCAATTCCTGAGCACAGAGCCAGGAGCAACCCCTGTGCATCTCTGGGTGTGACCCAAAAAGCAAAAAAAAAAAGGAAACAAACTCATCTCCCTGTAAAAGGAAGTGGATAAACAACCTGAAGTGTAGCCACACAACGGAATGCTCTTGAGCAAAAGATAGAAAAGAAACTACTGACATTCAGAATCATTGGGCGTTTCTGAAAAGGTAAAAATCAGTAACAAATACGCCAAGAGATGAAAACAGTGCATATTGTGTCATTTCATTTAAAGAACTTTCTAGAAGTAAAACCAAGCCACAGTGAGAGAAATGATTTGGTGGGCCCTGGGCTACCTGGTGAAGCCCCCATCTCCCGCTGCCTGAGATCTCCGTACCAACTGCTCCAAATCCCAAATATCTGTTCCTTAATGTCCAGGAGCTTCGGATCGGAGCATGAGTACAGAGGGGAAGGCACTTGCTCGAGTCAGGTTTGACTCCCCAGGACGTACACACAGTGCCCCAGGACCTGCCAGGAGTCATCCCTGGCTCCAAAAAAAAAAAAATCGAATTGCATATGTTAGTGCAATGACATGCTCTGCTCAGGTGGACCTGAAACCCCCCTGTGCCTCCGTCCTGGTCTGCCTCGAACCTGAACGGCAGCCCAGATTTTAACATTACTCGTACCCCATTCTCTTCTTCCAAATCCTTTTGCCATCAACTAGTGTTTTCAAGGTGAAAACCTGCTTGCTCAGACTTAAATTGTTATCTGCCATTCCTGAATTTAAAGACCCACCAAACCCAAGTCCTTTTTTTTTTTTTTTGGCTTTTTGGGTCACACCCGGTGCTACACAGGGGTTACTCCTGGCTCATGCACTCAGGAATTACTCCTAGCAGTGCTCGGGGAACCATATGGGATGCTGGGAATTGAACCTGGGTCGACCGTGTAAAAGGCAAACGCCCTACCTGTTGTGCTATCGCTCCGGCCCACCAAACCCAAGTCTTTACACTGCTGGTGAGATATAGTACAGCAGGGAAAATGTTTGCCTTGCACGGGGTTCAATTCCCTGCATGCCATCTGGTCCCCTAAGCATGACCAGGAGTGATTCCTGTGTGCAAAGCCAGGAGGAACCCCTGAGCATCTCTGTGTGGGGTCCAAAAAACAAACAAACCAAAAAAATGTTAATTAAAAACAAATTGCTCGGGGTCATGTATTACATAAGGCCTCGCAGGGGCCAAGCCCAGTCTGAGATCCGGGCACCACAGCGGTGCCCAGGCACTGCCAGGAGCAACGCCTGCACACAGAGCCCGGAGGCAGCCCAAGAAGAGCTGCCTGTGCTGACACCCCCAGCCCACCCCCGCCAAAAAAAAAAAAAAAAAACACAGGCCAGACTGGGGGGGTCTCTGGGCTGATTCCTGGCTCTTCCCTCAGGGACCACTCCTGGCAGAGTTCAAGGGACCATCTGTGGTGCTGGGAATAGAACCCGAGTGCCCTGCACGATGTACTATTGTTCTGCCCAAAATACAATTTCCAAAACTTTCCCTAGTTGAGATACATGATAACAAAGAAAGCCATGATAAGAATTCATCGCATCTTCCCACTGAGCCTGAGTTCCTCCCTCCACCTTTCTCTTACTAATCAACTCCACAATTCTCCAGGGACATAGAAACCAGATTTCATGAAGGGGTCACCCATAATAAAGGCACAGG